ATCATTTTTATTTCATCTTGAAAAATATCATTGGTCAGGATCAGTATTTTCTATATTAATCCATTATGTTAGGCTATTTTAATAACTGTGATGCATATCAAATAATACCATATATAAATTTTGAGTACAATCAATGTAGTTCAAATAACACATCCTAATTGAAATTAAAATAGGGAGTTGTAATCATGTCCAATAAATCATTAGATTTTTTTTTGCTGCAACAAGTCAAATATAAAAAACAAAAAATTTAGGCGATAATAACTTTATTTAAGTTAACTTAATTAATCTATGTGATATGAAATTAGAATAGCTCATAGAACAAAAGATAAAAACAATAATAAATTAGCTTAAGGTCTAGTAATTTAATTTTAAAAAATAAAATTAAAGAAAAATTTTATTAAAAAAGCACAGAAGAAAAAAACCAAAGTCTTAAGCTAATTTGTTAAATAGCAATTGAACCAATAATGGCCAAATCTATTATAACTAAAAACTAATGAAAATAATAATAATAAAGAATTAAATTGAAAAATAAATTAAATTAAAAAATAATATAATAAAATGCTAATTTATTTCCCAATCATATACATATGTTATTGGTCTTTCCCATCACTTTGAATCATCATTATCTAGGGTTATTTTAAGATAATTTTAAAAAATAATTCCGATTTAAAACTCAAATTGATGTGTCGGCTGATAAAAAATAAAACAACGTTATTATTATCTTAAAAAAATTATTAAGATACGCATGACGTCGGCCCCTTTACGTTTGATTTTTTAAGAAAAACGAATCCATCCGTCCAAGGCCTTGTGTTGCAGACAGATTCCTTGGACAGCCAATACCCAAATGCAGACAGATTCCTTGGACAGCCAATACCCAAAAACTGACGCAAAGTAGAAAGAATAAATATATTCTTCTTTCTATTTTCTTTATTTATTTTTGCCAATATTTTCTACCTTACAGTTGCCGTCTGCAAGCAGAATAATATAAATCATCAAGTGATGCTTGCGATAAAAGTCAGTCCAATAACGTTCGATATTCCAATGACGTTTGGTATTCCTAATTTATATCCATTTAATTAACCAGATTCTTTATATCAGTGTTTTAAAACCCGGATCGGCCCTGCGGGTTGACCCGGTATCCAGTTGACCCGGGCCTGAAATTGGTCGGGTGGAGGCAAAAACCCGCTTAGAAGTTGGCCCGGTAAAACCCGATCAACCCGGAGGGTCGACCCGGGACCTGGTCCACCCGGTCAAACCCGGCTGAGACCCAATCCATTTTTTTTTATGCTGATAGATGTTAAACGACGTCGTTTTGGCCTTTGTTTTAAAGGCCAAAACAACAAAGAACAATGAAGCAGAATTGGGCATATTGATCACAAAGCAAACCTAATTAATAAAAAGATCAATTTCAATTGATGAGGAGCTCAGCAGAGCAAAAGACATCTTGATCATTGTTGTTTCACTGCGAAAAAGGTTAGACTCTTGTTTCTGTTCATGAATCTTCTTCTTTCACTCTTTTTTTTTTTTATTCTTGGCCGTGTTTTGAACTTGCAGTTCTGGCATCATTTTACTGTTCGTTGATTTAATCGCATTGATTCATTCGCAGCCCAGTCATCTCAACCTCAAGTATGTTTCTCTATTCTTTTCTTTTCTGCAGTATAATAAATCCTCTGTTATTAGAAAGTGTTGAAAATGGATGAGGAAACTAGTTTTGTTCGATGCATTTGCTTCTGGAACTGTTATAGCTAGAGATTGAAACTATTTTGTTCTAAGAACTGTTATAGCCAGAGATTGAAGCTGTTGTAAGAATTATTGGTTATGGTTAAAATATTTCATCTTCTCATGTGTTTCTCACAAGAAGCAAACTTAAATGCTGGGAAATAATTTTTGTTGGAACCTCTTGTGTAATCTCTTATTTCGATGATGAGCTCTTGTGTCAATTACAGCACATGCATAGAAGTGTTCTTACTTAGAGTATATGCTATTGTAATGTTTTCACATAGACTCCCCTGGTTTTCAATTAATTCACTTATATATCTTGGAACATAGCCATAAATGAAAGGTTCTTCCAATTCAAAAAAATTAACCATGAAGCTCGACGCTATATTTTTTAGATAGAAGGATGGCCAAGTAAACTCCTATACTCTTTACCTATGGAATAATACAAGGAAAGGATGTCTATGTATTTTGATGTCTTATATTACTTGACCTAGATTTTTATTTAAGCTGTTGTGCTTAGTTAACCGTATTTCATGGAGTTACTGTGACATTAATTAGTTAGTTGAAGTTATCAACTTTTAGTAGAGTTACTGTGGCATCAGACTTTCCTTTCTCAATGCTTTCTCATGTTGACTGCTGGCTGATTTTCCATATCTTGTTGCTTGTTATTAGTTCAGCATAAGAAAATAGCTTTGACAAAATTTACTGGGAAGCATAATCTTTTTTTGTTATGTATTTTATATAGGTGTTTTTTTTTGGGTTGACCCGGGTTAACCTGGTTCAATCCATCTAACCCTTGACCCGATCACTAGGCCGGGTCGATGACCGGGTTGGGTTTTAAAACTATGCTTTATATCAAAAAAATTAAATTGTTTGATTGAGTTTATTTGTATTTAATTAAATTCCATATTTTAAATTCAGGGAATTAATTGCATTCTAGGCAATAAAAAAATAGTTTGATTAAAAACAACCTTAGGACTATATTTTTCTTAAAAAAAATATTAAAACAATAATATATTAGATCAACTCAGGTCAACCCAAGTTAACATATAAAATATATGATTCGTGTCATGAGACCGTGATAGTTTTATAAAAAGTAAATCAAATAACATATTGAAGCTCAATTTTTAATTAATCTCATGTTGAAGAATAAAATTAAAAACAAATCAATTATAAAAAGGATAAGAAAACTTAAGTCAACTTAGTTTAACTTATCAAGCCTTGATCAAGAGACAAAGATAACTTAATAGAAAATAAATTAAAATAAATTATGAAATTCAATTCCTAATCAATCCAATATTAAATGATTAAATTGAAAAAAACATTGATAAAAAATAAAAAAACTTGAGTCAACTCGGTTTAACTTGACAAACTCTTAACTTAGGCAATGAGACTAGGATAATCTTATAAAAAGTAAGCTTTATGAAGCTTAATTTCCAATCAACCCAAATGGTGAAGGATAACATTGAAAAAAAAAAACAGTTACAAAAAATGACTAGAAAAAACTTAAGTCAACCAGGTTAACCCGCAAAACTTGTGACTCAAATTCTAAGATTAGGATAACCTCATAGAAAACAAATCAAAATAAATTATGAAGTTCAGTTTTCAATAAATCTAATGTTAAATTATAAAATTAAAAAAAAATATTGTTCTAATTAATAGTACTTTATAAAAAAACAAACAATACTTTCTCCTTCAGAGTTAATTCACAACTAGATGATTGACCCGCGTTACGCTGTAGATGAAGTCAATTTTTTCTTGAATATAAAAAAAAATCAAATATTGCTAATTTTTTTCCTAACAGAAAAAAATTAAATCATATGAGAGTTTATCCAATGTAACCCAGTTGACTTTACTGATAAAAAAAGAACTCATATAACCTATGAAAGCAAATGTTGACTAAACAAAATTTCAAGATGATATCTTTTTTTAATATTAAAATAACAACATATTAGATTGATCTTGGACAACCCGGGTTAACATGCCAAATTTATAACTCTCACGACTTTGATCGCGAAACTTAGATATCCTTATAAAAGCCAATTCAAAACATATTGTGAAACTCAACCAATCCAATATTAAATGATAAATTAAAAAAATTAATTGAAAAAAATAATCTTAGTCAACTAAAGTTAACTTGTTAAACACTATTTATGGGTCACGAGATTGAAATAACCTAATAAAAAGTAAATAAAATAAATCATGAAATTTAATTTCCAATTAACCCAATATTAAATGATGAAATTAAAAAAATTAATAAAAAAAAAAAAAACAACCTGAGTCAATCCACCAAACTCATGATTTGAGTCTTTAGACTGAGATAATCTTATAGAAAAAAATAAAAAAATAACTTGATTTAACCCATATTAACTTGTCAAATCCGTGACTTTAGTCTTGAGACTAGGATAATCCTATAGAGAGAAAGTTAAAATAAATTATAAAGTTTGATTCTCAATCGTCCCTATCGGACATAATGTTGAATACTAAAATTTGTAAAAATATTAATTAAAAAAATGACATAAAAAATAAGTCAAGGTAACCCTAGTTAACTGTTAAGCACCATTACCTAGTCATTAGACCAAGATAACTTATTGAAAAACAAACAAAAACAAATTATGAAACCTAATTCCCAGCTAAACACAATATTATTTGATGAAATTGAGAAAAAAATCAATTTAAAAAAATAACTCAATTTGATTAACCCGCAGCCAGGGTTATAAGACAAAGATAACCTAATAAAAAGCAAGTTGAATGTTGAAGGACTCGTGAGCTAGGTAATGAAACCAATATAACCTCTTAGAAAGAAAATAAAAAAACAAACATGATTTAATCAAGGTTAAAATATCAAAACTTGTGACTCTGATTTTAAGACCAAGATATTCTCATAAAAAGTAAATAAAAATATATTATAAAACTCAATTCTACCAACCTAATGTTGAATGATAAAATTAAAAATAAATAAATTAAAAATATAAAAAAATAGATTATTCTCATGTCATGAGATCAAAATAATCTAATGAAAAGTAAACAAAACAAATCATGAAGTTTAATTTTTAATTAAATCAATATTAAATGATAAAATTAGAAACCAAAAAACTAATTAAAAAAAAATCTAAGTTAATTGGGTTAACCTGTCAAATTGGGTTATCTTATCAAGCTTAGAATCTGTGTCATGAGAGTATGATAACCAAATAAAAAAATCTAATATTAAAACATAAAATTATAAAATATTAATTATAAAAAAACAAAATATTATTCCTATAAATAATACTCTATATAAAAAGGTACAATAAAACACTCTCTTATGGTAGTTTATAGTTAATTAATTAATTAATTAGTTCTTATTAATATTTACATTTCTTATTAATTTTTTTATTAGTTGAATGCCTATTCACCTAACTCCACCACGAAAACATTCTCATTATATATAATTTTTCATTTAATGTCAAAATTATTTCATATATGTCTAATCCCAAAATAAAATCTTCACATAAAAAACCTCCCATAACCTTTCTTCTTTAACCCATTTGAGTTTTTTTGTGTTAAAAAAATTAATTTTAGGATTTATAGATATAAAAAAATATTTAATGAATTTTATATGAAAAGTATTTGAAAATATTATATCTCTATAATAAAATATTAACAATACTTATATTATATGTACAATTGTATTTTGTAATACAAACTACACACATGATACTACAAGTTTTATGTTATCCAACTAATCATATTACAGAATGTGATCAAAAGTAGAAGAATGAATAGGATTTTTCTCAAAATAGTTGTTGAAACGATTTTTTTCTGTTTGAAGAAAAAAATTATTGTTTACAATTGTAGAAATGATGTAAATATTATAATTAGAAACATGTTTTTGTAGATATAATATTGAATACAAACCAAAATCCATAGAAACTTTTTAACATTAAAAACAAAAGTTTGGGCATTGTAAACATGTTTTTTAAGATAAAAAAATTGATCTTGAATTAAAAACCTAATACATAGCAGATGATATCTTTTAAAAAAAATAAGATGGTAACATATATTTTTTTAAAAAAAAATATTAAGATAACAACATACTATATTAACTAATATCAACACAAGCTAATTAGCTAAACTCTCAACCCATATTATAAGATCGTGATCATCTTATAAAAAATAAACCGAAACAAATCGTCATAACTCAAGTTTTGATCATCCGTTTTAAGATGATTGAGGGTTCTCTCCTTTAACCTGTCTCATTTCCAACCTCTATTTTCAAAGAGAACATCACCGTTATCTTTATCTTGAATCCTTCTAATAAAACCCTCAATCATCTTAAAACAACAATCCATGCATCAACATTAATTAAAGAAGAGAAAAATAACCCTAAAACTTCTCTATTTGATTTAACTCTCTTTTGACCTCCAAACAAGGTAAGATCATCGTCTTTCTTCACCCCTTGATGAGCACTACTCAATCATACAAATTTTATAACCGAATAATTTTTTTGTGAGCATTTAAATAGAGAAAATTGAGATAATAATATAGGAACCTTAATCACTAGACATTCAAGGTGTCGAGTCTCCCTCATTGGTTAACGGTCATCTGCATCGCTGCACAAGAAGTGACACATAGTGGTACACACTGCAAGTCCCTCCAAGCATCGATCAAATATTGTTGGCGCATGGAATGATGCGCCAAACATGATAATCTACTCTTAAAGTGTGGTTGTCACATGCAACACTGCATCTCTTGATTCCATAGTAATTCTCTACTATTTAAGCTCTTTTTGATCCTCCTTGACCACCCCTAAAAGATTTATTTTGAATCCTAAATACCTCTTAAATAATTATCTTTATTTATTGATGATTTTGATGTATTTGGTAATGAGGTTTTAAGATTATGCAATGTTTATTGAATTAATATTTATATTTGAATGATGTTAGCCAAGTCTTTAATCTTGCATCTTGTTCTATTATTTATTTTAATGTGTTTTTGGGATGAGACTTTAGAATTGAGCATTTTTTTTTTAGATTGACATTTGTGTTTACATGTATTTGATTGAATCCTTGAATTTTTCTTATTGTTTTCTTTTATGTTCTTTGTATCACTACATGTTTTTTTGTGTGTAAGAACTTTGATATATTT